CGAGCTGCGGGAAAATCGCACTAATTACTCCTATTTCACCTTTTGCCAACTCCTTTGGGCTCAGAAGCCCGAGGGTGCACCGGTAAACATAAAATGGCGATGGCTGCAAGCCGGTCTGCGGTTAAGGAGCTAACCTGTGCATCAAAATAAAATAAAATAGTACTACCCATCAGAATTTTAAGCCTTATGACCAAAAATTACCAAATTCCTGCCTTTCATGACGTACCTGGTTGTGGCTGCCCCTAGATTTAGGCTGCCAGTCCAGGGGCAGTGTGGACCGTTTGTGCTCTCCGCTCAGTGCCCACCCGGTGCGCAGGGAGCTTCGGCGCCTCCGACGCCCTGGGAGTTAAGCTGCTCGTTAAGCACTTGGGTTTCAGCAATCTGACTCCAGTCTTGATCTTTCAGCTAGGGGGAAGATTTGAAGTGATGTTTACATGTTTTTATAACCCTTGGCATGGATTAGATCTGATTATTCTCTTATTTCTAAATCTACTTACTCATATCCATTTTTTAAACTGAACTACTTTTTTTTTCCCACTAAGGTTATTTAAATTATTTTTCTAAAAAGGAGGCCCTTCTTGTTTTTACTAAAAAATATCCTAGCATAGTTCATGGGTTTGCTCCCTTATTTTACTGCAGTTCCAATTCTCTTACTTTATTTTGCATTTGCATAGTTTGTGATGGTAATTGAGAATTTTGTTCTGAAATGTCCTCTGGAAATAACAGCACAGTTTTTCTTCCTGTGTAAAGCATGAGTGAATATTTTCTCTAGAGAGCCATCTAACCAGAGGGCCTACTTGTATTTTCTCCACAAACACTGATAAAATAAGATTGGATGGGCAAGGACACATTAATCAGGACTAAACGTAATGTACATACTGATAGAAGGAAAGATGACTGATCCTGTGCTGGAAGACAGTTATAATTAATCATAATCAACTTGTAATCTAGATCTCCCTGTGTGTTTAAATATAGATCGGTCTGAAGTATCCAGGCCTTTTCTCTGACCATCTCATTCTGTCTCAGGATTAAATAGGAGCCATTACTGTATTTGCACTTTGAGAAGTCTCTCAAACTTGAGCAAAAATTCCTCCGATCAGGTATGCATAGCATTGCAGTTTAGATTGGCAATGTCACTTTTATTCCTCTTAGGTTGCTTTCTTTTGAATATGTTATGTTTTCTCTGGAGAAAAGAATTGCAAAAGTGGGGAGGAGGATTAAAAGCTACTAAGTGAAGAGAGAGGATAGCTTAGAAGAGCTGGCTCTTGGGTGAAGGCACAGGCAGGACAGATTGGAAAAGCAAATGGTTTATGAAAAGCGTAACTTAAATACATACTGGCTTATCAACAGAGATCCTTGCCTCAGCCATCTAGGAGCCAAAAACGATAGATGAAAGGAGCAAGTGAGATATGCAAGAAAATAGAGGAGAGAATTTGAAGAGACGTAAGATTCAGCGTTTCTTTTAGTTCTAATTTGTCCTAAAAGAGAGAAGCGTTCCCACATTAGCTGGAACTGTCCTCTATGTAAAGCCATACCATATGATGTATACCTCAGGGGTACATAAAAAGACAAAAACTTACATTTGGATACCCACACCCTAACTGGTGCTAGGGAGCAGCAGCTTTTGAAGGCCAGGTCGAGAAGCACCAAGGAACAAAGCCCATCCCCCATTTCCTTCCCTGTCATAAAAATTCTGGAAGTAGCCACCCTTGCTTGGCTTTCCAAGCAAAAGCTATTACCAAGTGTTGAATTACTTAGAAGCCGATGCCTGTTGTCCACTTGGCGTGCAGCTGAGCAAGCAGCAGTGGCTCCTCATAAGAGGAAAAAATGTTTGTTGAATGAACCACCATCTGCCCCCGCCTGTTTTTTGTTTTTTGGGTTTTTTTTTTCTTCACAGTTTAATTTAATGCCGGAGACACAGGTTTGGAACTGCTTTTGGGTGATGGCAGAGAAACTTCTGTTAAGTAATCTGGGGTGGTTCCAAAAGGCATTCCACTTCTCAGAAAAATAGGTATTACTAGTCATTACTTATATGCTATGAGTTGAAAGATTACTACAATTTTCTCTGCCAAAGTTTACAGTCAGCCCTTAACATGACAGTAGATCAAGTACATGTACTTGCCTGGGCAGCTGACCTGGTTTGAACTGAGCAAGAGCTACTCTCAGTGATGACTACATTTTTGGAGCAAATACTTTGCTATGCTTTTTAAAGCAATCTTAACCTTGTAAAGCATTAACCAGCCTCTCAAGCTCACTTCAAGCACCTAGAGCCCTTGGTGCTGTGGGGAATTATTTAGACCCAGTTGTTACAACTGGCCGGCTAAATAAGATGTCACAACTGTATTGAGACAAGTGATGATAAAGTAGCTGGTCTCTTTTGCTGTCAAACCTTCCTCTGAGTAAGGAGGACTCCCAGCTGGTGCTAATGGGAGAAACGACTTGATCCTGCCATTTATTCATCTGTGCTCCATTCCTATTCCTTTCTCCCTACTGGCTTGCATGCAGCAGAAAGACAGTTAGAAATAGCTTTTTTTACATGCTTAGGCTGTTTGATTTTGCAAGCTGGCGTTAGTTTTACTTCTTTAGGAGAAGAGCACCCACGAGCACAGAATAAAACAGCTCATCCCCAAGCAGAGCTGTAAGAGAAGAGAGGAGTGAAAAGTGCAGGAGCTGAGCATCTCCTCCTTATTCAAGCAGAATTTCTATTGTAGTCAATGACCCAGATTTCTCTGACTTCAAGTGGCTGTTTTCAGAAAGATTGCTGGAGGCACAGCGCTGAGGAAGGTCAGGGCAGAATTAGCCCAAGGTATTTTGCATACGTAGGCTTATCAGAACTGGATCCATAAAACTCAGTACTGAATACCCACCTCCTTCAGTGAGGTGGGCGACAGTCACTGGAGTGCCTAGTACCCCTGGGCTC